TATTTTCTTCTTTTTATTCCGAAGAGGATGTGACTTCTCATACTGAACATTAAAATTAAAAATCGGAAAAAACATGGGATCGGCTCATGGCCGCGTTTCTTTGACGGCAGTGGAACCCCGTACAATTTTCCCGGGAAACGTATCCGAACTGCGGTGACTTACAACTTGGTAAAGTCATAGAGGGTCTATGGTCTAAGAATCTGACTGTAAACAGTGGAGAAGACATTTGATGAAGTTTGTGTTTTTAGGACATTTTTTATTTACAGTGGAACACTGGTGTGGCGTAATAGGCTTGTCTGAATTTAGGAAATTATTGGATACTGTAATTCGTTTCATTGTTTGCACAGACACTGTAAACAATGAACGTACACGTGAAAGACGTCGGATTACATGTTGATAATAGCTTTATTGAAAGTGTTGCACCAGGAAATCACACAGTTGACTTTTGTATTATACGGAACACAGCCAGACATGCAACCAAACTTTGGGGGACACACAGTAGGTTCGGATAACTGAACATTTCGGATAATCGACGTTCGGATAATCGACGTTCTACTGTACATCAAACTCTTGAATGCAAAGTGCAATGCAAATTTCTTCTAAGTCCTATATTAGCTCCAAAAGCAGTGAATACAATTAGAGAGGTATTTCTACTGTCAAATTAGTTGTATTCTAATGATTCAGTATACTGTAAAATACTAATATTTCACTTGGAATTAATTTTCGCTATTTTCGCAGAAAGAATGATTCAGTGAAAATAAATCCAGCAAATATATTTCTTGCTATATTTTACATTTAACTCGTCAAAAATCAGTGAAAATCCAAAAAGTCTTTTCAGCGAAAATTGGTTCCAGCTAAAATAAAGCATTACACAGTATAACCAATGTGAATGTGTGTGTGTATATGTACTTCTATTGAAGATGTGTTTCTAAGAAAGCAAATACTATAGCAGGTTTTTAATGCATAGATTGGGCACCACAAAATGTTCACATCCTTATAATTACGAAATTAAAAACAAATATTTAATTGTTCTACGATACTCACAAATGGCGTCATTTTAAATGGATTAAGATCTTCAAAGTAATCCGGATTCGCAATTCTCCTTGCCGACCACTCCCCTTGGTAATTTTCATTCTCTATAAATGGAGCTTTCCATTTGCCTTTGTAGTTTGGATTGTTGATCATCGGTGGTTCCCATACACCACAACCAGGAACACATGCAGGATTCTCTGTTGAGAAAAAACATAATGTAGTGTATTAACATGAAAGTTATTCCTTATTAACAAAAGTTATACCTTATTAACCTAGGTAAACCTAGTGTGTAGTTAACTTGACCAGGAAATGTATTAAAGGTCATGTTATTGTGTACATAGCAACCATTTTGATGTGTTCAGTCTATTCGTTGAATATTAATCTGTAATCTTGTGACATCTATGTCTGTTTGAAGACAGAACTGTTACAGAACAAAGTAGATACAATGCATGTACAAAATGTTTGCTCCAACAGAAATCTGATACTGTAAAATACTTTATTTTCACTTGGAATTAATTTTCGCTGAAGGAATGATTGAGTGAAAATAAAATCCAGCGAATATACCTTTTTTCCTAAATTTTACATTCAACTCATCAAAAATCAGCAAAAATTAATTCCAGCTAAAATAAAGTATTTTACAGTAATCTGAGATACATAAATCGGGTTTCATAAATACAATAACTTACCAATCTGTGGAGGTTCCCATTCTCCATCAATGTCATCATCCCTAAAAATAAAATGAAAACAGTCATAATTTTAGCCTTTTCACCACTAGTTCCCTTTTTTCATTACAAAATAGTCCTGTTTATTATCTGAAGATTTGGGACAAAAATAGCCACATTTTTTGGGTAACAACTGAAAATTGACTCAAATGTTGTCTGTTGCCTCCGAATTTAGGTTCATTTTCAAAAATATTGAAGAATATAAGAAATAAGTGCAGACAAATTTTGGCGAAAAAGACTAGAGGTGAAAAGGTTGATAGGGGTAAAAATATGATATTTTCTAAAAGTGACTAAGCATGAAGGTTAATTTTCTTATTTTGCAATTTTGACCACGTGAATCACACAATACACAACAAATTATTTGACAACCTAACCCAAGACCACTGTTGTTTGCCCCCTTACAACATAAATAATAGTTGCCATGGTAATCAATGGATATTGACTGGTAGTAAATGTTCATTCTTACCAGTCTTCTGGTTTCTCTGCATCTGGGTCATCAATCAACTCTTCTTCATCATCTAACCAACCGTCTGGTTTCACTGCATCCGGATCAGCAATCTGCTTTGGTTCATCTTCATCCCAATCTTCTGGCTTCACAGCATCTGGATCCGGAATCCTGGAATACAAAACATATGTTAGAAATTTCAAACGATACTTGTAATTTTTATAGTCTAATGTCTCATGCACTTATAGTAGTGATACAGTAATTACAAATTAACACACACAT